AAAAAAAAAAAAAAAAAAGATGTTTGGGGGTTTATGTGTTTCCCATGAAACATTTTCTTTATAAATTTTTATAATCAAATTCAAAAATAATGAGAACGCCTTGTTTTATTCCCACATTCAAATTCTATAGCTCTGGTTTGAAATATTTCTGTAAATCCCAATGTCATAGATACGTATAAGGTAATGGCTAACCTCTTTTCTAGGTGCAAGTTTGAAAGAGAGGATTAAAAGCATTCTTACTTGCATTTTAGTACATTCCTGCTGTTAAAATCACTGAGCCTGTCGCATTGTTTTCTGGTAGCAGTCCACTGAATTAGATGCAGAACTATACATTTGGAAGGTGCTATTTTAATTCACTGAGGAACCTTAGGTGAAAGTTCATAAACGTTATACAACACCCAGTTGTCTGGCCCTGATCCAGAGGATATAAATGGGGAAAAAGGAGTTGATAACCTTTTAGCTTAATATGGCCTGGTAAATGAGATCCTATTTTGTGCTAATTTTTGCACTTTTTTTAATAGATGGAACTGATTAAAAATATAAGTACTGCTGAACAGCCCTATTTATTCACTCGACATGTTCATTTCCTCAACTTCTCAAGGTAAGACACTGTCTCCTTAAATGATTCTCTCCTTTCTTTTTTTTTCCTCTCCTTTCTTTTTCATACTTAACTGCCTACTAATGATCGGTTATTTTAAAAATCTACCTTTATTTACAAAGTAGTGCTATTCTTATGAAAAGACATTTGTGATCCACTTATTTTTGCTTTAGTGGAATACAAATTTGAAGTATTTAGACAGAAACTTCATTTCTTTGCAGAATACCATGTAAAATATTACGAAATTTGGAATTATTTTTAATGAGAAAACATTAGACCTGACAGTTCTTTAAAAACAAAACAGAACAAAGTTGGGTTTCGTATTGAAACAAATAAGGCAGGAAATGGATATTTTAACATAAATATTTCATTGCAATGTTTGTACAGTTTGAACCTACCCAGAGCTCTGGGAATAGCCTAGTGGAGGAATAATGCATATTTTATAGGCTCCAAAGACCTGGTCCCAAACTCTCTTTCTTTACTTCCTTTGATTATTCTAAACCTTGCACATCTGACATTGATGAAGTATTTCAGAATTCTGGTGTTGTTTTCTTCAGTGTCTGTGGCCTTCTGATAATAATGCAGATCTTCAAATTCCAGTGTTTTGACCTTCTTTTGGTAAAAGTGCTAACTTCAAGTTCTGAGCATTCCCTTCCCGGGTGAACTGTGAGCCGTGGTTTACTGTCACTGTGCTATCTCCTGAACAGGTGGCCTTGGGCTCCCACTCTCCGCACTGGCCTGGCCTGTATTCACGGATATCTGGCCAACCATGAGTCACAGGCAGATCTGCAGAGCAGCCCAAGACCCCTGCGGCTCTCTGAGCAGCTGTCCGATAGTGATAGTACTTCCCTCACTTAAACTGGGGTTAAGGTACAGCTCCTCACAGCTTCTCAGAGGGCCTGGGAGCCACACCCTTGGTGCTGACCTAGTAGCTCACAGTGTCCTGCCCTGAGCATTTTCTACTGCTGCTCTGCCCCGTGCTGCCTGACAATCCACAGGCTGGGAACAGGTTTCAGCTGTCAAAGAATTTTCCTGTTCGCTTCAGGACCTGTGCCAGCTAAGTGTAAATGCAGTGAGATTCAGTGAAATGTGTTCTTAAGCAAAGAAAGAAAAGTTGCTGCTTTATCTTGAAAAGTGAGCATCCCAGCCTGCCTGGTAACCCAGGGTTCCTTGGGACAGTGCATAGGACATTTGCAAATTATTGCAGGCCAGGTGCCTGGCAGCTCATATAAATTGGCTCCTTACTGTGTTGGCCAGTCTGTGCCCTGCCTCTTCCCTCCAGAATCCCAAGAACAAATCATTGCATAGAATGAGATAACAAAGCCTTGTTAGCTCCTTCAGGCCCAGAGTTTCATGATTTGTAAAGAGAAGATCTCCTTTCTCTGGTCCTTGCTGTGCTCCTGTGCTCTCTCTGCATTACCTTGACACCTTAAATTTCATTCACTAGCTTTTTTTTTTTGCTAGTCAAATCTTTACAGCTGAACAAATTGCATTACAACACATGTTAATAATCATCTCAGAACAATGTACAACTCTAATGAGAAACCCAAAGCTGGTGCCTTAACTGGATCAGCAGAGCACAGCATGGTGGCTGTGTTTTATCATGGCTTCTACTTTCTAATGCGTGTATAAGAGTAATCTTGATTGCTTTAATTCTGAAAGGACAAAAAGGAAACTGCCTTTTAGAGGACAGCACATCTGCAGAAAACAGCATGGACCTAGCTGTCAAGATCCCTGGGTATCAAGGCCTGCCTTCCCAGGGTTCAAGAATTGAGCAAGTCGTGCACACTCTTGGGGAGCAGGGGGAAGAGAATCCATTTTTCCATCTTTAAAAAAGTCATAGCCCCTATCCACACCTGCCCTGCAGAGATGCTGTGACCATGGGGATTAAAGCCCTTTGAGAGAAGAGTGTTACAGAAAGTCAAAGGGTCTCTTGAAAGAGCATGTCTGTGAATGCTTTGGACTGAGCCCCCACTCAGCCCCTGCCTGTGGCTGGCCACGACGTGTCAGGGTGGGAGCACCCATGGGCTCGGGCAGGCTCTGCCTCTCTTCCTTCCCATAGAGAGAGCAGCTTCTCTTTATAAGCGGCATTGGGCCGGAAGCTTCTAGTGAGCACTATGCGTGTTCCTTGCCTTTGGAACCCCTTAAAGTCTCCTTCCACTTAGGCAGCAGTGCAGTGAGGTGTGATGAAGGGAGGGAGAGGAGGTCACAGGGTGCTCTACAGGGGAGGTGGGATGCAGCAGGTTACCTCCTAGGACACTTTTGCTGGAGTGGGGTGGGCGGTCAGCTTTAGATCAGTGAAGGGGAATCGCATTCCCAGTACAGGACCTGTAGGGAAGGCAGGACCCAGACGGCAGCTGACTAAGGCAGTAGATGCGGCCTGCAGGGAGGGTCTGCTGGACAGAGATGGTGGCAGGGTTTGAGGTGGGACTGCAGGGCTGGCCTGACACCCTTCTGTGACCATCTCCCCTCACAGCCCCAGCAAGCCGTTAGCTACAAGATTTCTCAAAAACAAATAGAATGATGAGGTGAAATTGAACACTTGACAAGTTCACTGTTAAACTCATAGGATCCAGGAAGTTAAAAAGTAGCTTTTCCATCCTTTAAAGGAATATCTTTGGTAAAGGAAAATGCCTTAACCATGGAAGGCCAACTGTGGCTGAAGAAAACCCCAAAAGATACAATGGGCAAAGACTTGTTAAGCAGGGACTTGTCAAGGAGAGCTTTTAGCATATTTTAAGAATAGAGGTCTAGTTTCAAAATTCTGAGGCCCAAAGATCTCTTTAAAAGCCTGCCCTTACAAAACTGCTGTTTGTTACTGGAAAGGAGGGTACTAGAATTGACACCGTAACCCAGTTCTCTGTTGATATTTCACATCTTCTGTACATCACCAGCATGCAGCAGGATCTGTGCTCCTGGGCCATTTATAAGAATCAGTCCAGGGCCAGGGATTTAGCTCAGTGGTTCTGCTTCCTGCCTCGCAAGCATAAGGACCTGAGTTCTACCACTGGTACCAAAAAAAAAAAAAAAAAAAAAAAAGAATCAGTCCTGACCCTCTCTCCATACCTTCTTTTGCACATAAATTTTCTGAACTTTTGAAAGATATGGCATTAATCAAAACTGCATGTCCTCTATTTTTTTCACCATTAGATACAGCATTCCAACTTGAGTGGTGTAAAATGCTTGTGGTGATTCGGGATCTCACTTATTTCATTTACTCAGCATCTTGGCCCATTGCCCTCTTCTTTCTTTTCCCTCTCTTGGAGTTAGAAGGAACCATTCGGCCATATGCAGCTTTATTAATCTAACCGTGGGAAGCAGTTGCATTAGATCAATCAGGTGTTTCTACATTTGCCTCAGGGAAGATTTCCTGCCAAAGGACATTGGCGCACATCTAGCTCAGGAGAGATTGCAGGCTTTGCTTTGGATTTGTGGAGTTTCTGGTGGGCTGTTCTTTCACATCATTTTTTAACCCCCTAGAAATGTTTTTCCCCAGGATGAGGCAGAGAATCGAACCCAACATACCTTGGCCTAGATGATGCTACTCTCTGTTGGGACGTTGGAGTAGGGTTTATGTTTGTCTTCTGCGGTTTCATATGTCTTTTTCTGGTTGTAATTTTAGGATCCACTTTTTGGAAAAAACTTCAACTTTCCAACATCAACAGTGTTCCTGCCTGTGTGTGTTTTGAATCAACACACTGGAGAGATTCGTGGCAGACAAGACTCAGCTTGTCTCTCCCTTCCCCCTCTAGTTACTTGCTTTCTAATTTTTTGTGCAGAAGTGAGGGGATAATTCATTTTTCAATCTAGAATTCCTCTCACCCACTCAATTGGATTCTTGCAGAGAAAACCTTACGAAGTTTTACATCCGAGCCTGATGCTATCAGAGTAGTCCAAGTGAATTACAAGAGTGATCAATATGAAAAGCAATCAAACTACCACTTCTCACCTGTGACCCCTCTCCTTTCCCTGTTTCCATTCCTATTTTCCCATCTCGGATGGTAGCCACAATAGTGCCATGACCCATTTTTAAAGTAACAGTATTTAAAAATCAATTAGTCACCAAGGAAGCAAGTAGGTGCCATGCCCAAGGAGAGATGTTTTGATGTTTTCTCTTGTCCCTTCAGTGCAAGAAGTCTTCATGATGGATGTGAACATAGCTGCCTTCTGACAGCAAAACAAATCAGATTTTGTCATTTCCATAATTTAATTTGGTTCCCACTCTTATTTCCATGCCTGTGTTTATTATTATCATTAGCAATGTGGTGCCTTTTGATTCTGTGCCCTTCAAATCTTTCCTAACAGTGACAGAAGTTCAAGCTTTGAAGATAACTCCAAAGTAAAAATTGATACTCGTGGTTATTTAATATTGTCTTCACCTTCTTAAACAGATCCTAGCAGTTCTATTTAAAGACAAGAGGTTTCTTCTCAGCTTACCATACTTAAACACTGCTGGACTAATTTCACTCTACACTAAGTGGGTCTGTGCTTCCCACATGAGCCTAGCAAGGACGAGAACAATCTGGGCTTTCCCTCAGCTCACCTCATTTTGTGTTTAATTTTTGCTGCTTACCGTCAGATGTTTGTTTCTTGCCTTGTTACGGCATCTTCCTCTCTGATCAGGAATTCTAACTACAGTGGCCCAGTCATGGCCTCCTGTCGCCCTGTCTGCCTCAGCTTCTCACAGCTAATGAATCCACCTCTCTTCCCTTGGAACAGCCCGAACACTGAAGGCACTCAGTCTCTTCTGCCTGTGACTTGCGATGGGTGGTCTTGTTCCAGGAATCCAGGCACTGATGGGCCCACTGCTCAGGGTTTGAGGATGAAACAGGACCTCCCACCCAGGCAAGGGCTTTAATTACTGTGATTGGCTTCTAGCCTGGGATCGGAAATGAACCATCCACACTCCTTCAGGCAGCTCTTCATCCTGCTCCCAGTTGTGTTTGCCTCAGTCATTTTCTCATCACTGAGACAGTGCCCAACACCAACAAGGAGGGAAGGTTTCTTTCACATTTTTATTTCATGGTCTTCTAGCTGCAAGGCAGAAATGGCATGATGGAGAAAGGCTGCCCCTAACATGGTGAGCAGGAAGGTGAGAGAGAGAGAGAGAGAGAGAGAGAGAGAGAGAGAGAGAGAGAGAGAGAGAGAGAGGGGGGAAGAGAGAGAGAGAGAGAGAGAGAGAGAGGAGAAAGAGAGCTAAGGGAGGAGACTCAGAGGAAGATATAGTTTTCCAGGTTACACCCTCAGTGACCTGTCTCTAAGCAGACCGCACTTCTAATAGCATATTCAGCTCTGATCCAATCACCTTCCAAAAGCCCTGCCTCTGAATATATGAGGCTCTTGGGGGACATTCTAGATATAAACTGTAACAATGACCTTTTCCACAATGGCCTTTCTATTACTTCCTCACCAACAAGCCCCCAATCTGTAGGCCTCCAGCCTGTGGTACTTTTCATAAGTAGAGGCACAAAAATAATCTCTACTTCCAGGCAGAAGTTAAAGAGATGTATTTTCAGTATAATGTTGCTTCCCAAGGATTGAGGAAAGAGAAGCAGGTTATCTACTATTTCATGGGGACAAAGTTTCAGTTTGGGAAGATGGGAAGATTCTGGAGATAGATAGTGGTAACAGTTGCACAACAATGTGAGTGTACTTAATAGCACTGAACTGTACTCTTAAAATTGGCAAAAAAGGTAAATTTTGTATGACATATATTTTACCACAATTTTCAAAAAGAAAATTTCAATGAAGGGAAATGGAAATAATTCTTCTGAAAAAAGCTAAAGGAATTTAAAATTTTAAAAAATAATTAAAAGCATCAAAATTGAAGCCCCACCCCCCCAAAAAAAGCTAAATGCTTTAAAAGCTATGAGAAGCAAATTGTTTGTGTCAAACAAAAGGAAGTGTGCACAGAAAGATTAAGATAATGCATGGGTATGGTGAACATTCTTCATCCTCTTGAGCTGTAAATGGGCATTCACATGAGGGCTGTGGAATCTTCTCTAAAGGTGGTGGGATACCAACTGTTGTCACCGAAATGTGGAATCTTGAGTAAGCAATAGATTCTGGTGACCCGGAGTCTTCATAGGTGTGACTAGACATTTGACTAAATTTTGATGACAATTTTTGAGTTTTAAAAATACTCAGGAAAATCTGATTCTGCAAGAGGATGGAGTAAGGGTGGAGAAACTTGTTTTCCTTCCCAAACACATGGTATATTTTTAGTGGTACAGGGTGGTGTTCTGACCTCTTTGTATGCTGACAGGCCACTCAGATTTTACCAGTTTGGGAGGAAGCTGTGTGTTCTAAAAGGATGAAGGTTGGCAGCCTGAGATAAGTTTTAATGTTGCCTCTAGAAAGGGAGATATATCTATCAGACACTTCTGTTCATAGTTAGAAATTTCTAGACAGAGTATTGTACTATCTGGTACTTGGCAATGAACTTGGATACCATCTAGAACTTCTGTTTTGGAAAATGTTTTGGTCAGCTTTCCCACTGTTGGATCAAAATGCCTGATATACACAATTTAAAGGAGGGAATGGTTTAATTGGCTGTCTGTTTCAGAAGTTTCAGTCCAGTCCAGGAAGGTGGCTCAGTGGCGCTGCTCCTACCTGGCAAGTGTAAAGTCCTGATTTCAATCCCCAGTGCCAAAACAAAATACAGATAAACAAAAAAGAAGTTTCAGTAGGCTGGTTCCATTGCTGTGGGTCTGAGGTGAGCAGAGCATCACGGCAGAGAGGCACAGCGGAAGAAAGTTGCTTGCTTCCTGGTAGCCTGGAAGCAGAACAGGAGGACAGTACCAGAGACAAAGGGGCCAGGAAACGTACAATCCCCAGAATTTTGCCTCCTTGACCCACTCATACATATCCAGAAGTATACTTTACTAGTCTCCTCTCCAGCCAAATAAGTCGGCAATCAAGATTAACTGCCGTAAAACATCACTCTGGAAGTCTTGCAGTGGGTTTCAGTGTGTACGTAGGAGCAGGTCCTCCAACTTCAGCTATCCGTACGAGTCCTCCTGTCTGTGATCTCAGCAGCTGTCAGCCTGAGAATCATTTCCTGGTCAGAATTTGCCTGCTGAGTCACATGATGGAATCACAAAGATAAAAGTACTCCTGTGGTACGGAACGTATAACCTCTGCCCTGTCCCTAGTGTGCTCCCTTAAGACTCCTCAGCACCACTGCAAGCAGTCCAAAGAGACAGGAAGGAATCCTGAGGAAAATCTAGTTGACCTGGTCAGCTTGCCTTGTGAAGGCCTAGGCCTCGGGCCAGCTCTCAGTGCAATTGCCTTATCCCTTTGTGGAAGGAATGAAGATGGGACATCTAGAGAGGTGCAATTTTGAGGACTGAGTTAGGTTCATTTTGTTTTGTTTTTAGTTTTTTTGTTTTTGTTTTTGTTTTTTTTTTTATTTTTGAGATAGGGTCTCAGTACGTAGTTGAGACTGACCTGGAACTCACTATGCAGCCCATGCTGATTTCAAACTCACAGTGATCCTCCTGCCTCAGCCTCCTGAGTGCGGGATTACAGGCATGCGCCACCACGCCCGGCTGAGTTAGGTTCATATTTGATGTGCATGCTTTGTATTCAAATCCCTAGCATTATTAATTTAGTCTCTGTTTATCATAGACATGAAACCCAACTCAATTAAAAGAGGATAATAAATCTAAGATGTATATGGTGGTTACCTGGTGGTTGGCACAGCTCAGTCCTAGGACTACAATTAGTTGCTCACACAATAGCATGAGTGTCACTAATAACATCTGGAAACTGAATAAGATCCATTGGCAAAGCTCATCTTACTCATAAACAGAAAGTTCTCCTACTTGGCAGTACCTGGGGAGCTTAGAATACCACACATGCATCCATTTCTACCCAAAATTTCACTGTCTGAGAGTTACTGCTTTGCATTCTTTTGGTGTCTTCTCTCTGAAGATCCTCTTCTTAAAATGCAAATAAACCAGTTCAACATGATATGAATTAATGCACAAAAAAGCATTGGTGGCTGGTTCTGTCTACTTTCCCCTGGCAGCAGACTCCAAGATACAGGCGGAAATGCAACAGTTGAAACAAAGGCGCCCAGACATTTACCGAGGTTCATGAACTTTCTTTCATAGTTTGGGGGAAGATGGCTGCATTTATATTTGTGTTGGGAAGGTGACTACAGTTATATTTGTCATACAATATGGTATGATTGTGAACACAGAAGCACAATTTTTTTGTCAAATGCTTTTGTGTGAGAACTGAATTGTTTTCAGACAGAATCATTCATGAACCAAAATATTACTGTATTTCTGCAGTCAGTCCCCATTTGTTGAGCACCTGCTGTGCACCACATACTGTGCTAAATGTTACAGTCCCTGGCTCCAGGAGGCTAGCAGTCCAGTGAGAGAGACAAATATGTCAGTGTAGTATGGGCAAGAGGACTCAGGGCATAGCGGTGGGGGGACAGCCAGTATACTGAAGATATGATTGGGATCCTAGGCTGAGTTTCCAGTAAGGTCTTTGAGAGTCACCACAACATAACCTTTGCCTTGTCCATTGTGTGCTCCCTCAAGACTCCTCAGTACCACTGCCAGCAAGCAGTCCAAAGAGATAGGGAAGAACCTTTAGGTGAATTCATCTGGCCAGGTCATCCTACCTTATGAGACCCAGCCCTTAGGCAAGCTGTCTGCAGTTGTCTGATTCCTTTGTGGAAGAAATAAAAATGGGACGTCTAGATATTTGTTTTATTCTTTAATCTAAAACCACTTTCCATCTCTGGAAGAAAATTGTGTAGATTTGTTTCATTCTTGATACACTCCTCAACTTTCCATGGTCAAGAATGTAGATTCTGGAGCCAGGTCACCTGGGTTCATCACCTGCCTCAGCCACAAGTTATCTATCTTCTCCCTGCCTTAGTTTCCCAAGTATAAATGGAAATAATTGGGATATCTGCTCCACGGAGGTGCCGTGGGCTTCAGTGAGTTGGTCATGCCAAGTATTGAGATCATGGTACAGAGTGAATATCCAGGGCAGGCTGCTCACTGGTAACCCACTCACAGCAGAATACCTCATCTGCAATTGTTGTAATTGCATTCGAGAAGTGGCATGTCTTCTACCCAGACAGTCAGAACTGGGGAGTGGATAGAAGCATCCACTGAGGGCCACCTGCATGCCCCTCACTTCTGCCCACCGCTGGGAATACAGAGCCCAATACAGCATTGTCTCTGTCCTCAACAAACCTAGGCCTTGAGAGAAAGCGGGACAACATCTGTACCTTGGCTGTGACAGATAGCATGGTTTCCTGTACTGTGAAACCGTCCCCACAGCTTCGAGGCAGAGACTTGAATTAGGTGTTATTGTCTCCACTTCCTGTTTGGTGACAAGATGTCCATCGGGAAGCACTGGGCTCGCTTATGCAAGTACTCATGGGCATCTTAGCAGGTGAGGTCATGCTGGGATGCTGAGTTAGCTGATAGGACAGACCCTGTTCAGGTAACCCTTCTTTCCCTCCCAAAGTGTTGGGTTGTAATGAGTTCCTGTTTGTGTGCATGTGTGTGTGTTAGGTTTGGAGGAGACCAGCCCGTCTACATCAACATCATCAGAGATCCTGTCAGTCGGTTCTTATCTAACTATTTTTTCCGTCGCTTTGGAGATTGGAGAGGGGAACAGAATCACATGATCCGCACCCCTAGTATGAGGCAAGAGGAACGCTACCTGGTAAGTCTTGCTGCTTATGAGAAATGCTCTTGTGTTGCCCTGGGGTGGATGGGGAGCTCACCTTTGATGGAAACTTTTACAAGTGAAAACCCATTCCAGATGCTCTAGATCTTAGGAGTCACACTTTCAAGTGATTTGCTAATTTACCTTGCTCAGCTTGTGTTTACTGCTAAGTTTGAGATGCCAGAGAAGAAATAGTCATTCCTCAGGAGTTCTCACCTGCACTATCCTGCTCAAGAACAGATGTGTTTTGAGTTCTTTCTTAGAGGCATATAAAATTTTTCTCATCGCTCATCCTATTCATTTCCCATGAACTCTAGAGGGAATTCCAAAAGGGCCCAGGTCTTGCCAGTCACTTCTCTCCCAGCTGGAGTGATTGTCTCTAGGTCCACAATAGCACATGTTATCACAGAAATAATTGTTGGCCTTTCTGAACCTTGTTCTGGGACCCTCAGCTCTGTAGGTGTTTGTTAACATCCTTAATTGTTATCAAAAGCACAGAAATTGTTAACATATATTGAGAGTAAAGTTGTATGTATTTTTCCAGCACCAAAATAAAAGGACATTTCTCATCTCATTATGACTTGTGTTGACAAAAGCTTAACGAGTAGCCTCAACCTCATAGTCAAAGAGAAGCAATATGGTCACAGGCCAGCACAATACACATTTTTTAATTCTTAAAAATGTAACCAGAGTGTGTTTGGGGTCTAAGAGCATTTTTGGAAGTCGCCTCAATGTCAGTTTCCTGTCTTGAGATGTGTGATAAGGCTTGAGAAAGAGAAACAGAGAAGCTAAAGCATCTCATCCAGTGCTGTCTGCCAGGTAGTAGATGGACCGAGACCAGATTCAAAGCTTTTCACTCCTGGTTCAGTGCAGGTCGAACATCCTCCATCTGAACGTCTGAAATGTCCCTAATTCTGGAACTTTCTGAGCACAGACAATACTACACCTGAGACCTCATGCGACAGCTCTGACAGAATGTAGGCTCACCAAAAATATTGCATAAAATAACCTTCAGGCTCTGTGTATAGAATGTATATGAAATGTAAATGAATTTCATGTTTAGACTTAGGTCCTGTTCTCAAGATGTCTCATCATATATATGCAAATGTTACCAAATCTGAAAAACAGTCTGAAAACTGGAACACTTCTGGTCCCATGCATTTTGCAGGAAAGCAAAGGACATACAACTTGTACTTGTTCAGTCAAGTCACCTAAATCTTCAGTGAACTATTTTCATGGCTATTTTTAAAGTGGTTTTTACCTCTTTTTAATTTTTTTTTTTAGTCTTTGATGACAAAACCCTAATCTTTGTCTTTAAACTACATGCTATAAATGTGGCTCTGTATTTTTAAATTCGGTGACAAGTATGTATGCAGAGCTTAGAACCATTTACTAGAAGAATAATATCCTCTCAAATTATGCTTGTGTATTTGTTTATATTAGATCTTGATTAATATAGTTACACTTTGAAAAATAGAGTACATTCTGCTTAATAAAAATAATGGTTCAAAGTTCTGACTTAAATCCAAATACTAAGAAAGCTAGAATTACGTGATGGTAGATAATGCTGAGAAATCAAAGAAATGGAAAAGAGTCTTTAGAATTCTGCTCTTTGAGTAGTACTGAAAGACTGGGAAATTCTCCAGTTCTACTCTCATATTTGCCATCCTATAGATCATTCCATATTATACATATATATTCCATATAACATACACAATACAGAGACTTTGCAAACTGTGAGAGAGAAAATTATGCTTTAGATCATTTTTTTAAGTGTGGCGGGTTGGTAATGGGTACCAATCTGATGTTTCTGAGGTGCTGGTAACTGCCTTGGTCATGTGAGTTGACTGAGAGATTCTGAACATATTCACCCTTCCAGAATTCTCCCCTTAGTGATTTGAAGAGGCTGCTCTTCCAAGTGTGAGGGTTGCTCTGGAAGGGTCTGTGTCAGATAAGCTTATCAAATCTTTTCTTGCCAAGGACCCATAGGAAAGCACTGGGTACAAAGCAACCAAGCAGAAAATAGAGGGGATGGGGTTGAGGGGTGAGCAGGGCCCACTGTAGGCCAGACTTCCGTGATGTGGCCTTGATCTGACCCACTTAAAAAGCTGTTTTCTTATTCAAAGGATAGTTTGTTTATTTTGAAGATGGCATAATGCCTTTGTTTTTAAGAGCTGAAACTTTTTATTCCATCTCCTTGATCCTATGAAATAAAATTGCCCCTATCAGAGCCCGTCCTCATTTTGGCAAGCCTGGGTGGCCGCTTGTGTAACTCAGAAGAGGGTGTTGTTTGCGTGTCTGTCGGGCTCGGGCAGCTATGAGGAGACACTGTCCCCTCAGGGAGCAGCTATGCAGCGTACCCCCTAGGAGCTGTGCTCTAAAGTTTCTTCCCATGAGACCACACACACCACACACATGATACGGTGCTGACCTTGGTCAGTCAGCTGATTCCCACAGGATTCCAGATCACAGTACTCAAAAGCCTTTTGCTTTGCCCCATTACCATAAGTCAGCAGTCTGCTTATGATCTCAAGCCTTAGTGTACAGCTGGAGGCTTCAGAGCCTGCTAGGGGTGGGAAGGGTTGGTATCTCCTGATGGCCAGTGGTTTTGAGAAATATAGAAAGGGTAAAAGGATCTAGGCTTTGCAGATGGTGAGGACACTCCCACCTCACAAATGAAGGAAGAGGCCTGAGTCTGGGAGGGTCTGGGCCTGCAGGGGTAGAAGCCAGCCCTCCTAACTCCACACTCTACTGTATTCCAACTTGGACCTTCTGTCTCACTTCTTGGATAATAAACAGGGTAGAGGACAGGGTGAAGTCCATGCTCTTTGAGCAAAGTCATTTTGTATAACAATATCTGCGCCTCTTTATAAAGCTATCCTTGTTAAAATGATCTGTCTGAATGCTCAAGCACGTTATAGCAGTTCCCTGCATTTTCTGGAAACAGCTAGATTTTCCCAAACTTTCTATTTCTTTCCAGACTATTCTTTTTGACGTTTTCCAGAGAATAGTTTTTAAATAAATGAATGCAAACACAGATATAGTCACCTCATAGCAGTCATTCAGAGGCAAAGCCATGGCCATAGGCTCATTTCTGTGTCTAGAGCCAAACCCAAGTCCCTGCAGTCGAGGTGGCTGCTTCCTGTTTTTGTCTCGGAGCCACCTGAGCCCAGGCCCAATAGGACCACATGGCTCAGCACATGTGTCTCTCCTCCAGCTGGAGTGTGGGCTGCTTGCTTCCAGGGCCAGGGAATATCTAGCACACAGAATGTCATCCTCAAAAGAATGCATGACCTTGAAGGACAAGCCATTGCTCTGATTTCCGGGAGAGAGTGAACAGCCCATTCCTCCAGGCCTCTGCACTTTCCAGTCCCCAAGCTTCCCCAGAAAGGGAACTCTCCTGCTGTTCCTTTCGCTTGGCCAGTTTCACAAATGTGATTTGTACTTGCTCTTTGCCTAAAATCTGGCCTTAAAACGTTCACAGTAAAATATTATGCACAGACATCACTTTGCACTTTCAAACTAAAATAAAAATGGCAAGTTGCATTGCTTACCCAGCCTCCCGAGGCCATCCTACGCTGAAGACCAAGGAGCGTGAGGGGAACATTTTCCCAGAGAGAAAACTGGCTCTGTGATACTATTCATTCGGTTTGGCTGTAAAGTATGGAAAGTAATGCATGTTTCAAAGAAAAGATGTGTAATTTACAGCTTCTTAATTCATAAAGAATTCAGTGAATCATGTTGGCCCCATTGGATTCTGGAGAAGCCTGAAAGTTGGCCAGAATTCGCAAAGGTTTTCAGAAAGCTATGCTTTTTAATCGGCTTGAATGTTTTGGACACTGAATATTCCTTCGACTCTGGAAGTATACATGTGACATCCTGGTGTGTGGAAATTTCCACTTACTCTTGACCACTGAGATGTCCTTTGAATGAAGCTTTGGGCTTTGCCTCCATTCTTGAAGCCTCATTTTTCTCGAAGAAAGAAAACCAGCAAAGAATTTGGATCATCTGTTTTTTGAGTGTTTCTGAAAATACCTATGTCTCTTGACCATTGAAAGAAAGGAAGTAATGTTTGTGATATCCAGCTAATTCAGATTTGGCTTCTAATTGGAAGCTATGTTAGGGGCCTAGCACTTAGTGTACTTATGCTCCTTTCTTGCCCACTAGCTGGTGACTCAGCTGGCGATTTCGCCTCCGTAAGCCTTTTTTGTCTCATCTGTACAGTAGGACCCCATTACCTCCTTGCATGCCTCACAGGGTTGTTGGGAGAATCAGCTGCACATTCTACACAGAAAGGCATGGAGAGCTAAAAATGCCTTGGACACAGTTCAGTCTTGTTGCCTCCATCCCCTCCACTCTTGTCTTGGTCATTTTCTGCTTGCTAGACGCAATATGTGACACCCCCAACTTAAAGAAGGAGGGGTTTATTTTGGCTCATATTTTTAGTTCTTAGTTGACTGGCTCCAAGGCAGGAAGTACATGGTGGACGGGCTGGGTGGAGAAAAGCTGCTCACATCATGGTGACCAGCAAACAGAGAGGGAAGGCAGGAGCCAGACCCCACCTCCCAACAGCAAGTCAGCTATCTCACCCCTCATGATCCAGTCACCTTCCGGTCACCTCGGGTGAGGCCTTTGGTGTACATTCTTGATCTAAGCCCTAACAGCTCTTTTAGTGACTCCCTGTGATCTAAAAACGATCCTTTTGGTCATTGGTGGCAGCTCAAGAGGTAGCTGGTAACACTCGAATCAAAAGGACTATGTTTCCTGAATACATGGAACATCTCTGCTCAGGAGCCCCGTGGTGGCTACTGTTTGCATGGGGCTGGGGACGTGTTGGACCATGCCCTGAGACATCAGGTCTTCCATTGCTGAAGACTCCTATGGCCGCACAAGGCTCCTTCTCTGGGGAACAGTTTCTAAGGAAACTGCTTCTCTCTGTGTTCCCAGCAGCTGGAGATGCATTTTGACCTCACTCTGCTGGCAGACATTTGTCCCAT